GTTGTGTAGTGGCTTTTGGCAGACAAGAGGAGGAGAAAGCTACCACCAGTGTTCTCTGTGCCTGTGGCCACATCTGAATGAGAGGAGTGGGACTTCCCTACTTCTCTTCTAGTCTGACTTCCCCCCCATGGTCTTATAACGCTTGTAATGTTATATATGAGAGAGGAAAAGGCAGAAAAAGTGGATCACACTTCCCATGTGTTGGAGTCTGCTGGAGACACTAGCTTTGCTGTGTTGAGATATGAAGCCTTTATCAAGGGCAAATGCTTTTGGGGTTTAAATCCAAGAAGGTGTGTGCTTAGCCATAACTGCTGTGGTGCTGTCTCAGCAGTTCCTTGAGAGTCTTGAGGACCAAACAGTGACCTGAAAAACAGTAAATGCTTTGCACCCAGCAGGTCATACAGTAGGGCTCTGGAGAAGACTGCTGCCCTCTGCTAATGTCCTCTGTGCACTCCATCTGGGAAGCTGATGTGGTTCTCCTCTCTGCAGCCAGCCAACAGTGAGTTTTACAAGGGTGGCAAAGGCACACCTGAAGAGGGGTACAGCAGTTGCTGGCCTCCTGAGCACATGCAGAAAAGTCCAGATCTAACAAGAAGGGATTTTTTTTTTCTGGATGAGATGCTTTTTGGTCACTGGGTCAATAGCCTGGTTCAGGTGTGCTGGCCAAAACCCCCTTCAGTCCTAATGAGATCCCATCCATTTGTCAGAGTATAGGACTGTTCCTGGGTGGGCTTTGTTTGCAGGTGGAGTTTAGGACTATTTGGTTTGATGTTTTTCTCTACTTTGGCAAAAGATAGAAGAATATCAAGTATGTGAGCTCATAATCTGATTTTTCTTGAGATTTTCTTTAGGAAAATCTCTGAGTCTTGCTTGGTATCGACTCTTCTCCCATGTCTCTGTGTGCTAAAAACTAGCAGATGTGTACAGAAGGGGGATTGCTGTTTAAAGGTCTTTTCACTTCTATTCTAAGATCTCAAAGGACACAGTGAAGGAGAGAATCACAATGCAGAGTTTGAAACTCCTCCAAGTAAAACGGTGTTAGGATCCCTGCAGATGTATTCTTTGCTTACTGGTCTTGATAAAAGAAAATTCCACCTGAATCTTTTCTCAAATAAGCCTTTTTTAAGACTCACTGGTTAGTCCTCCTCCCTTTCCTGACGCCCCAATACTTTTTTTAATTATGGCTTTCTGCACAGGGTGCCTGGGGTAAGAAAGCAGGAGCAGGTGTGAAAGTAAAACAGCCAGCTCCAGTTCTTACTATTCTGAGTTTGTCAAAAGAAAGAAAAAAACTTAATTCTTGCATTAGGATATTTTCACAGAGGAGACTCTACTCTCTTTCTCAGCACTAAGAGCTTGTTATCTCCCTGTGTGTATTTGTTTTCATTTTGGTCTTAAGTGCATGAATTCATACTGTGAGTGGGGTGTGTGGGAAAGCAAGACCAGATCCACAGCAGTGATTTCTTGTTTAGCTAACCCTTGACAACACTAAAGAAGGACTTGAGAGGCAGGACCTGTGAGGTGAGCGAGCGAGGAACTGGATGTCAGAAATGCAACTATGGTAGAGAGGTCAACAGAGGAGCTGCTGAGGCAGAATCTGGGATGGTGGCACCTCTCCCCGACTCAAACCACTGGCCGGCAGCCCCTCCTGCCCAGGGTGGTTCTTCAGCCTGCAGGGGAGATGATTAAGGGCCAATTCAATGGATGTCTATAAAATTCCAAGTGGCCTTGAGAAAGAAAATGAGAATTCATTGTTCCCTGTCACTTCCAATACAAGAACTAGGCATTCAAATTAAATTAGCTGATGGTAGGTTCAAAACAACTTCGTGCCCTGTGTAGCGTGGCATACTGCTGTGAGAGACTGTGGGTGCTGAAAGTTTACATGGGCTCAGAATGAGATGGGAGAGAATTTGTATAAGATGGATTGAGGCATAGGCACTACCTATTAGGGAATCCTGGAGGTGAAATTTCCCCAGAATGCTCTCACACTTCTGGTAATGCCACTACATATTCTACCTATCTTATATTCCCTCCCAGGTATCTGCTCTTAGCCACTATTGAAGACAGATACTGAGGGAGATAGGTCTTTGGTTTGACCCAATGCAGCTTTTCTAGTGGATGAATAAACACACAGCTTTTTGTCAGCAGCAGTCTGAGCTCAAATCCCAGTTTCTGCTCTCTGCTCTGGTATCGTTAGATCAGCTCTGAGAAGGAGTGAGAGGACACCAGCTTGTGCAAAGGATGTTTTTGACCTGTCTTAGGAAAGAGCTGTGTTTGTTGAGAGCTGGGGCTGGCAGGACAAGCACAGCAACATCCTCAGGGTCTAGGATGGGATGAAGGGCTGAGATGCTTCAAAGATTTCCTACTGCTAGGGCATGGGGAAAAGAGTTAAATACTTGAATAAAACAAACAGTAAAACCTCAGGTGAATGGCTTCAATGGAATAGCCAGGCAGGGTGAATCCTTGGAGAGAGTCAGGTGTTTCTTGTACTTGTTCCCTGTTTTTTCTCTGAGCTGGAAGCTTTTTTCCATCTGCCACACAGAGGGAAGGATCTGGGATGGGAAAACATTCAGCAAACTACAGAATCGGATAAGTGCTGTGAACACAAAACCACAGCAGTTGCTTTGGCCTTGGCGTGAGGCCAGCTTGCCCCTGTTCTGCCTGATCAGTCAGGCAGAAGCATAATGGACTGTTTGAAAGGGAGAGTTAGTTAAGAATAGCGTGGGGCAGTTCGGTCTCTCTTTGGATTCATGTTGGTGGTCCTCTCCTCCGCTGCACTTTGTTTCCAGTTCAGGCAGGCAGGGCGTAAGAGCAAATGCTGCTACTCAGCCAGAGCAGCAGCCCGAGAGGAGTAAATGTAGGGCTTGTGTCTGAATATAAATACTGTTGAAAACAAAACAGCCTGTTTCAGAGGATGCTGAAACAGCATTTCATGAAGGGGGATATCCCCCGAAATGGGATGATGGGATAGGAAGAGAAGGGTTGGAAGGTTTTTACATAATCACAAGTTGGGAGCTCTCAGCTTCCAAAGGGTGGAGGGGTGACGAGAGTTGGCATCCAGTTTTGATTCATGCAATTGCTACCTGTGGTCAGAACAAAGTCCCTGATTATCAACTGTCCCAAAAGGTCTCAGCCTCTTCCTGGATTTCCTCGTTTTGGAGTTTTGCTGCTTCTATGGGATTAGTTAGTTGTAGGAAGCTTGATCATTTGCCCCAGCTTTTCTTTGAAAACGTTAAAGTTTCTGAGGGTTTCTCTGCTTCCTTGCTGATATTTAAAAGCTGAGAACAAAGTTGCTATGTGCAATTGGAATTCCTCCCGTGTTCCTCTATGCCCAGTAGGACACAGTCTGTTTAGAACCACATGTGCTAAAACTCCCACCAGCAAAGCCTGGAAAAGTGTGCCCTTGCATGGTCTCAGCTCTGGGCATGAGATAGGGGAGGCAGCAGACCACAGAACAGACCCTGCTGCAGAAATTGATTTTCAAGTTGGTACCTGTTCACAGCAGCAAAAGTGCAGGTGGAAATACTGACCTTTGCCTTCTTTTGGACAAGTATGGTTGCCATTGCTGTTGATTTGCATCAAGTTCTGGAAAGCTTGTGTGAACTGGTGGTCCTTCTTGCTGAAATATAACGAACAAGCAGAGCATCCCTTGTGCTAGCCTTGGAGAAGGGTGTGAATGAGCTGGCAGCCAGCTCTCCTGTAGCCTTCACATATCTGTAGAAATCAGCTCCAAGAAATCAGATCACTTGGTTGGCTACTTTCCTTCTAAGCTTTTACAGACTTGGCTGTGACAATGGAAAGTAAAATCAGATACTCTAACCAGAACCAATTTTTTTTTGTCCTGCATACTAGTAGCTTTGCTAGTTTCCATATTGCTGGAATGCACAAGAATCCAAGTCCTGCACAAGGGACATAAAGTGCAAGGGGCTGTACAAACACAGAACAAAGAAAATACAGCTATCCTAATGCATTTGCAGTGTACATATAAACTATCAGGTGATAGGAGCATAGAGGCAAAGGGGTGAACACTTAGAAATAGGGTAGACCCTCTTTAAAAAATTTTTTTTTTCTGGGAAAACTATGGCAAAATAAAGTTTAAGAAGGGACTGGTATTGGACAACATTCCCCATTCCACAGATGGGTGAATCAGCCTGTGGTGCAGGCAGGAACACCGATTAACTATCCAGAGTGAAAGTGAGGGTCAGCTTCCCTTTGCCCCTTGGAAGGGACTTTCCATTTGCAACACCCTCCCACCCCTCAGAGTTAATGAAGGGAGCAGGAGGGCCTCTGGGAACTGGGTCAGTGGCAGCTCAGCACAGTGCAGCTTAATTAAGCGAAGGAAAATGAGCGAGAGGGCAAGGAAGGGTAGGAGCCCTGCCTGGCCAGTGAGGAAAGCAGCTGGGTTTGAACAAGCAGATAAAGTCACGCTTTCACCTAGTGAGCTGCCTCTGGATGTTCCTTTAGGCTGGAAGACACAATCTCCACTGCCAAGGACAGCCCTGCAAGCTGTTCTGCTCCTGAACCTCTCCTTGTAAGACAGACCAGCCACGGTTCCTTTTGTAAGGCCAACAGTCCCACTTTTAGACTCGGCAATTGTATTGCAAGAAATCTGTTGCTGGGCTGATGTGGTCCAGCGTGGCTCAGGCCGTGTTTTCCTTGGCTTCTTTAACGTTGCCATCTTTGGAGTCTATTAGGGGGAAAAAAAACCCAAACTCTAAAAACCAGAACAAGGGAGGACTACTGCTTTCAGACCAGGAATGGGAGATGAGCAACAAAGTTTGCTCCCAAGAGCTTTAGGTGGGGATGGACTGGCTATAAACCCTACTGAGGTGTCTGGACCCAGATCCAATTGTCCTAACAGTGCAGGGTCAGTCAAAATTGCAGTCTTTATGTGGATGCATTGCTTTCTAAAGCTAATTTTCAATCAATCTGCTTTCTGTGTCTCAGAACAATGTGAATGTGTTCCTTCCACCCCAGCAGTTGTTGGCAGGGGGACTCAGAGCATGGCGGCATCAGTGCTGGAAACAGAAACGCCTGGGAAGTGTCCTGTTACTGCCCCTCAGTTCATTGCGCAAGAGCCGCGCAGGCCTCCGGTTTGTGTTGACTAAACAGCTGAGTAACACAATCCCATTTTGAATGCTCTTCCTGTTCTAGATCAAGAATGAGACATACATTGATTAAATGACTTACCCACATGGTCACATAGTGAGTGACTCATTGGCAGAGGCAGGAATTAACACCTGGTATCGTTAAATTCCTGTTTCCTAGACCCCATGGCCTCTTATTTCTAGGGCTCTTCTCTTTCCTCTCCTGGCCTTTTTGCCTCTTGCCCACTGCAGGATTTGTTACATGTGTGATTTCCAAGGTGACAATATCTGACCACTGCCAAGAAAATGAGACATCTGTCCTTTGCTATGGACTTCTATGGGCATACAAAGAAGCTACAGTCCCTTTTAGTTCTTATCTTTTTTGGAACGTTTTACCACACTATGCCTGAGCTGGTGCGGTGCCAGGTCTCCTCTTCTCCCATGCCTCCAGCATTGCCCATGATGAAGGTGTTAGCCTGTCCTCTAATATTATTTCCTGTTTTTCTAGAAGCATCTTTGCGGCAGTGTCCCTGCAGTGGGAGTGCTCTGCCCATACCCACCGTTAGTACAATAGCATGATCGGTTGCAAAAAATCAGCGGGTGGGTTTTATAAGTCCCGGTTCAGTATTCAGCAAGGTCTAACATCTGTTGTGATCAATATTTTAGAGCAAGTCTGTTTGATAAAAAGTTACAGTAAAGGCTTTAGCTTCCTACTGAATAGCTAAATAATCCACAGGAGTGGCTCTAATCACTTCAAGCTTCTTGCATTTGAAAGTAAGCAGAAAATTCAGAGTAATTCTGTGGAGACGCAGTAGAGCCCGCTGCACTGTGCTTCTTACAAGCTGCTGTACTGGGGATGAAGCGCTTTCAGGTTTTTAACGGCTCCTGAGGTATGCTGGAGACAAATCTGGCCAAAAAATGGTCTCTTTTATCATTGGGTTTTGATGATAATCTTTATGAAAATCTGGCTGGTAAGTCCAAGCAGTCAGAGCAGAAATTATACCCTCTAGTTTTAAAAATGAAACTACCGGGTGCACGGGCATCACCAGACGCTGCGAAAGGTTACGGCAAAGGAACGTTACGGTAGCGTCAGGAAAATAAAGGGTATTTCTGTAAAGAGGGGCTGTTGCTGTCCCTCCGGTGCGAGGGCACCGGCTGCGGCTGTCCACGCCGCGCAGCCCCCA